CCTATCTTTTACCCCACTGGACAAGCGTATTCCACTTTCTACTTTTAAAAATTTAACTTATCCCCATGGGAAGCCAGCCAGAGGCTATACTCACTTCCAACCAATGAGAGAGCACCCACATAGCTCTCAGCCATGTATGAACCTTCCATGTCTTGAAGATCCCCTTAAGCCCCTCCTCCCGGATTCCACCGCCGCAGCCAATAGCCTGCATGCTACATCGCAGACTGTGTATTTCCACGAAAGTCAAGCCCCACTTCAAAGACTCTTAAGATATGGGATTGAGGACTGTGTATCAGTCCAGATGCCCAAAAATAGACTGTCATCCACTGCAATCCATCCAATTGATTGAGGGCGTGAAAGTGGTCCCCCCAGAGAGTTTAAAAAAGTCGGCTCGGACAGGTGCTCTCGATGTCCATCAATTTACGGATTTCTTCACTCTTCAGTTTTGAGTTTGTGGGGCAGCCACACCTCAAAGATCAAGGCAGATGAACTTTGCATACTTGTGAAAGACGTAGGGCCGGAGTCGAATGAGCTAAATTGGAACCTGATCTTTTCTACAGCGAAAGACTATGAAATTAACAATTTAATAATGAATATATATATATATATATATATATATATATATATATAAAATTTAATTTAGAATAAAATGTCTTTTTGGCCATTAGCTGTGTGATCTCTCCAGGTTCCATGTTATGAAGTAATTTAAAGGGCTCACACACGACGCCATAAAAGGGAGAAGTTTTTAAATTTCACGTAATGATTAGTTTATTTTAGTTTGTTGAAATTTGTGTAATATACACTTTAGTTCTTCGAAAGAGTTATTTTGCATTTAATAACATTATAAGTGTAATTAATTTTTCTCTTCTCCTACAAAGCTGCTATCAGATGAGTATCTAACCTAATTTTCGTACGATGCGTCATTAACTTTAAATAGACAAGTAATTATATTAAAATCGTCACAAAATATTCCCTCTCATAAAAAATAAGTAATACAAAAAAAAAAAAAAAAATTCATTTTCTACTTAAGTCAACAAAGACATTTTTTGGTTTGTTAAATTTAATTAAGGAATTAATATTTGCAAAAACTGTATTAACATCAAATGTCATTCACTACAAGTTTAAGAAAATGTATTTAAAGCCAAGAAAAAATTCCTTAGAAAAACGTACTGGCGTCATATGTTGCAGGTAGTTATAACTACGTTAGAAATAGCGTAGATTAAATTTAAAATTAAAAAATAAAATATAATTAATGAATTAATATTTGAAAAAACTGTAGTAACATCAAGCGTCATCCACTACAAGTAAGAAAAAAGTATATTTTAGCCTCAGTGGAT